CTCTTCCTTTCCGAAGGCCACCTGGAGCATCTCACACGTCCACTTCTGGGAATTCTGACAGCGTTTTGCAAATATTGAACGTGCCCTCATTCGCTTTTGCCTGTCTGCCTCTTCCGTGCAGAGGGGAGGACCACATCCCTTGGAGCGGGGCTGGATACAGTGTTAAGAGTTCCTCAGCCTCTGGAAAGGCCCTCCGACCTGCCAGATCCCACAGAGTGGTGTGGTTCAACTCTTATAATCTTCCCTCACAGAAAGAAAAGGCTGTAAAAGCATCACTTGAGGAAAATTTTGCCCTCTTGTCATTAGCTCAGCTCCCTCCTCTGCACCCCAGCATCAGCTCCGCTGCATCCTGCTTACCCTTCGCACTCTTTCTGCCGTTTAAGGCACAGTAAGGCCTGTCAGTCTTGCATTTAGAAAGCAAATCTGAATTTTGAAAACCCTTCCCCACCTTCCTCTTCTCCCTGCCTTCCCCTAGGACCCACATCTTCCCCTCCTTTCCCCTATCCCAAATGCCTAAGTCATTCCCATTTCTGCATAAGAAGACCAACGCTCCACTGGAGTCCCTACGGAACTGCTGGGAAGAGCGAAGGAAAATGGAAACAGGGTAGGGCAAGATTTGCTGTTGCTGCAGAGACAGAATGTGGACAGGCAGGGAAACTGAACTGAAATGCAAACCCTGAGCTTGCACTTCTGGCTCCCGCCAGAGACGGTGAGGAGACAAGCGTTGTCACCTCTCCATGTGCAACCACTGCTTCCACAGCTGTAAGGGACTTGGCAAGCAGGGCACTGCAAGGGCCGTGCCTGCTGCTCCCCATCTCGTTCTCAAAGGGAGAAATGTGTTGCTTCTGGCACTCACACAGTTTTCTCACGACAAGAGTTAGCCCTGTTGCCACTGGTCAGTCCTATTAGTTTGTTCACCCTCCTCCATCCTCTTGCTCCTTGGTCCTCCTGTAATCTCCAACCCATCTCTTTGCCAAATCCCCATGCAAAGCGGTATTTGCTCCCTCCCCGCTCCTCTTTCTTGCTGTCGCTGCAATACCCGCTTTTCCAAGAGTGATTACTGTCCCCATGACATATTCTTTCCTGATCCTCATCTTCCCAGATAAAAATCTACTTTCAGGCTTAATTGACTCCTACACGTATTCCTGGCCGCCTCTTCACCATCTTTGACTCACTCCTCCAGCCCTTCCCTCCTCCTGTTCTGACTTCCTTTGATGCAGGATATCTTGTGGATTTCTTCACAGAAGTCATCCCTATTTTCTTCTCTCAAATGTCCAGTTTTGCTCAGATCTAAGAAGCTCCTCCTCAGTTGCATTGCTCCCCTACACCTATCCCATCAGGGCTTTTTTCCTCTTCTTTTTAGCCATCTTCATCCCTGTAAGATCTCACTAAGCTTTCACTGTTTTTTCCTTCAACATGTACATGTGCTCCAAGCGTTGGAGTCCCATCTTGGAGTCTTGCCTCTCCAGCAATTGCTCCATCTCACAACATCTTTCATTCACTGAGCAAAGCAGCTAGCCACTGTCAGGAGTGCCCTTCTTTCTTCTCCATTTTAGATAATCTCCAAAGCTCTTTCCACTCCACAGTTCCACCCACCCTGCTCTCACCACAGCCCAAACAGGCTTGTAGGCAAAGCCCAGAGCCACTAATTCTTCTGTACGTGGACTTCCTGGATTCCATTGCCTTTGATAATGAACCAACATGCCCTTGAAATAGCTCATCTTCTCTTAGCATCATGCCCATTCCTCACACAGGCTGTCCTTCAGCCTGTCTCCTGGAGAACTGCCTCAGCTTGCCTTGTCTCTGGGTTTTGGTGGGTACCATCCAGTTGCAGAGTCCCCTGGGTAACTGCGCCTGCGTGCACGGATTCAGCCACTGCTTCTGCAATAGTAGCTTGTGCTTCTGCTTCTTTGCTCCAAAGCTCTTCCTGTCTAAACTAAATTCTCTGCTTGCATCTGACATCTCTGCTTGCATACCTAGCTGTCAGTTCTGGTTCTATCACGCTACATTGGAGAACATCCCCCTTCCCTTAAGATAACCCCATACTATCTCCTTTTTTGGTCACTGCAGACATCCCTCTCCTCCTGCTGCAGATCTCACTAGCCAGTGAAGCTGAAAGTCAGGCTTTACCTCCAACTCCTCGCAAGGTCTTCTAAGCCAGGCAGTGCCTGCATTTGCCACGCTTTCTGAGTAACAGCTCTAAAATGTTTCTTATTTTAGAGTAACAACCCACCCACGCAGTACAGTTTTCATCAAAGCCCACAGCTATTCTGCAGCAGTTTTCCTTTTGGCCTCAACATAAGGCAATTCTGCCCTACAGATTGCTGCTGGAAAGCCATTCTCCTAGTCCATCACATCAGTCACATCGCTTGTCTACTTCTTTCTGATAGCTCTGCTTCTCCAATATATCAGACAGATTAGTTCACTTTCAAAATCCTGTTTGGCCTATCCACACTTTACTGATCCTCTTTGCCATCATTCAAAGGTTAATTCCCACCTCTGATGGAGCCATGATTTCAAGCTCCGCTGCCCATTTGTTCAGTCTTCAACTGACTTCTCTTCAAAGAAAGAAAAAAAATCAGTTCTTACAGCACTCCATTACCATTAGGTAATTTAAAAGTAGCCATAAAAGTTCATTTTCTGCTGTCAAACTCTCCCTAAAATCTGGCTTCACCAGAGGATCAACCAGCTAAGAGCTACAGGACATCAGAAATTTACCTTGCTCTTCAATATTCTTATTGCTCCTCTGTCTCTCTCTCGCACCATGTCTTACACTTGGCCAACATCCTCTGAATACTTCTGTCTTCATGTTACACTCACAGAAACCCTAAGACAGAGCAGTCCTGGTTTGGGACCAGCACCCTTACTTGCAAAGAATCATTTTGAAAACAGGAAAAGTGAGTTATAGAGATGTGACTTGGAAATGCCCAATACCAAATCAGCATGTAATCATGAGGACAGAAGAGACCTATGAGCTGATCAGCCTGGTTTGCCACTCTGTGTTTTCAAAGAAGCTGTCATCCAACACTGTGAGCTGGTTTGGAAGAACCATGTTGAAACTGCTTAGCTGTACCCTACGATACCACCAAGAGCGAAACACAAACCAGCCCCCTAGCAACCGGCCAAACTTTAGCACCATGCCCTTGGAGCAAGGGGTTGGAGCCATACGTCCCTCTTTTTGCCAGGGAGTTCTCTGCTGCTGGAGGCAAGGACTTAAGCCGCCTGTTCCCAGCTGACGTGTCACTGGGCAGATGCAGCTCTGTTTGGTTCCAGGATGCCGAAGAGAAGGCTCTTTGGAGGGAGAGGGAAGAGGCGAGTGTGCTCAGCTGCGCTCCTGACCTCTCCCACGCCAGTCAGGGGCAGCCAGGGACAGCAATCCCATCTAGTCGCACCCCGTTGACAAGCTTATAACTACTCAGCAGGCACAGAAGGATATCTGAGCAGTGATGTTCTTTTCCTGAGCTCCTCTGGTTTCTGGAGTTCCGTGTCTACCCTCGGCAGGTGACCACCCTTGAATCTGTCGCAGTGTACCTCCGGAGCTGAGGCAGGGTGTCCTGCCTGTCTTCAGGCTTCCACTCGTAGGCAGCAGCACCGCTACAAAGCTGTGTGGACCCCAGCAGCAAATAACACTGGTTCCAGGAACAGACCCCAAACTCCACCTCTTGTTGCTCAGGCAGAGGCAGTAGTGCTAGATACACAATTATAATGTTCTGGGCTTTCAGCACCCTCATAAGCTGGAGAATAATTATCTCCTTTTGCTTGCTCAGTATATTTAGCAAAATAATTATAATTTACTAGACTGTTTTCTTTGTTTTGGTATATTGGCATAGTTCTCTCTCTCTCCCTCTGTTTCCTTTCATACAAACTGTGGTGTCATTTTTGCATGCACATTTTCGGGGGGGAGTTTCACATGACAAAAATATCTAAATATTTTCTCAGCCAGCAATTCCACTTAAAGAATCTTTTCTGTCTCTCCAGAAGGAAAATATCAAAACTGTAGAAGAAATAACTGTGAAGGCAGATGTTGCCCTGCCTGCTGGACACAGACTGTCTGCTCTTCCCACAGGAGTGAGTTAAACACGGCATCTTCCTAACCTGTATTCTGCGAGTCCGCATTACCAAAGGAAGAAAGCCAGGAAGGAGTCCACCTACAAGACCAAACAGCCTTGGTGCATTCAACAGCAAGGAGCCCCAGCCACTCCTCTGCTGGATGCCACTTACAAGACGTTAGCCTCAAGCTCGAGCAGCGATCGCAGCTCAGGCACAAGCCACCCAGATACCACGAGCCTCGTGTTTAAGATACGGCTGTACCTTAGGCAACAAATCATTTTTGAAGTTGGGATTCTGGGTATCACTGATTCCAGAAACCTGGGCCACCCTTCCCAAAACACTTTCAGTGGCAGCGCATACAAAGCCCATCTCAGTGGGTCTTTCCCCTTGTCTTTTCCCTTAGTTTCTGTGCAACCAGGTTACTGTTTTTAATTATTTCTACTATTTCTCACTGGGCCTGACATTCTGGGTTTGGTATTTGCTGCAGTCTGCTAATCTGCACTCCAGACAATTTCCAGGGAGAGGTCTCTCCTGCTGTTCTGAGCAGCTGGGGTCCACATCTCTCGAGACAGGCAGCGTGCAGCCCTGCCTGACGGCACCCAGGAGGACGCTAGGCACAAGGCTCCTGTTGGGAGGAGGCCTGGAACATCCCCCAGTGGGCTGCCAGCGCCACACTAGAGTATTTTTAACAACAGATTCAAACCCTCATTTTTCTTACAGAGTTATTTTTGAAGTCGTATTTTAGTGCTTTTTGTTCTGCTCAATACCACTGAAACATGCTGTATAGAAATTACTGACGCAAACACCGAGCGGAGTGGTGGAGGGGGAAGGAAAACAACTGGGCTGTCACTTCTTCCCTCTTTTTTTAATTTTTCTTTTTTAAAGCAGTATCTCCTTCCCAAGCTCAGCACAAGCACACATTCTGCTTGTGGAAATGTTTTGCCACTGCAAAATAGGATGCTGTGATTTCGTCAATTCAGTTCTCAGACCTTGCTTAGGAGGGGGGAATGGACATGCAAATCAAATTTAATCCTTTAATGGATTTGCACTCGCAGCATGTCCCACAGCACACCGTTAGAAGCATTTACATTAGACACAGTGATCACATTTCTGAAGCCTTTATCTTCCGCCCATTGAAGTCAGCGGCCATAAGGATTAGATTTCATATCTTAATGAGAGCTCGGTCCCGACAATACCGTGTCTCTCGCTGATTGTTTTGCCTCGATGGAAATGCACCTTGCTGGCATGGCTTAGTGAGAACGCTCCTCCCTCCTCCCTTCTCTACTGTAACAGCTTTTTAGGCAGCTGTGTTGTCCTCAACTATACAGGTACGAGTTTTATTGTCCACAAAATAGAAAAAAAACCATAATCACTCTCAATTGATTTGAGGCACGCTTCAACGGATGTGAAGCGTCTATGTCTTCATTAATTTTGTGCAGTGGGCAAAAATGTCACGCTTCAGAGGGGAAACAAGAAGAAAGCGAGGACGATGGACACCACATCCTTTCCAAATATCTAGGTGAAATCTTTACATACTGAAAACGGAGAGTTGATTGAAAAGTTATTGCAAGTGGTAGCATATTACGTGCTTATTCCTTTTCCTTTCCAGACTTCTGAATGTGACCAGGAGCAACAGCTCTGAAAGGAGATCATTTATACTGGAACAAAGTCTAAATAGTGTATGATGGATATTAAGAAAACATTTCTTTGACTTTTAAAAAAATATAAATTGTTCAACTGTACAGCTGTAGTCAAGACAACCATGAGCAACAGAAGTTTCTATACTGAGTTCCTTACATTGTATGCCCAGTCTACAGAGCAATGTCCTTACAGAATGGCATTCTGCTGTACCCCTAATTGTATCTGGAAATGAAAATTCATTGGCGTCCTGTTTACTTTTATCCCTGGTAGTCTAGAAATATTTCCAGTTCACCGGCACTTTGGTTGCAAACCCACACACCGACAGGTTTTTCCACAGAAGCATCACCCCTCATTAAAAACCAGGACTGGCACGAGGCACAGGCAGTGCCACTGAGGGCAGCTGACAACTGCAGCCAGCAAAGGCACCTGCCCCGCTGCTCATTTTCCCTTCGCCCAGCCGTGAGGAGGTAGCCGTGCTGCTGGACCATATGGCAAGCACCTACTGCTATGGTCAGAGCCGGCCACCCCTAGCAGAGCCAGCTCCTGCATCCAGCCCGCAGCCTGCAGCAGGAGCAGCTACAGCTTCTCCCTCCAGCCCCGCTGCACCGGCTCTGCCCTTTCCACTCTCCTTCACAGGAGCAGCCTGCAACCTCCCGACATCCTCAGGACAGCAAAACCTGGTGGTGTCAACCTGAACGAGAAGTCTCCAGGCTCGTTTAGACCACTAAAGCAAACAGCCCCAGCTCGGAGAGCATCATTCCTATCGAAACATGCCAGGTAGCTGCACTGCAGAGCTAGAAGTCAGGCGTTGCTGAGCACTCACATAGGACTGCTGCTTTCTCTCATGCTTCGTGGAGGCACCCCAGCAAGGCTTCACCCCGGCTGTGCTCCGTGCTTTCAGTCATAGCAAGGCAACCTAGAGCACCTAGGTCAGATGTTCCCTGCCAAGAGATTAACTCTTACCTGGGCTTGCGAAGGTCTAAAAGCGGAGTCAAAGCCGTTCTGCAGAGAGTCCAGAAAAGGCTGGATTTTGTAGAGGCCATGTGTTGTCTGGCTCGAGCGGAAGGCCACAATGTGGAAGTACTTCAGGATCTTCTCAAACCGTGACTGTGTCATGATAAGTGCAATGCTCTTGTTGCTGTAGAAGCCACTGCTCCAGATGCTGAGAACAGACTCACAGTGGTGGATGCTGGTTGAGATCATGTAGCCTAAGAAGGCCTTCATTTCTGTCAAGGTGACGTCAACCCAGGCTTCGTCACTACCAAACCTCTCCTGGTACTTCTTGGCATACATGTTGGTTTGGACCACCATATTCTTTAGTACATTGTCAGGGACAAAGAGCTGAAAAAAGTCCATGGCACTGGCAGTCAGGGGCATTTTTCGTGTTGGACCTAGAACAAAAGCAAGAAGGAAAGATAAGCTTACTCCTGATCATAACAAGGCATGTCCAACGCTGGCAAGTTAAAGCAGGACTAACTTTCCTAAAGCAGGAAAACAAGGCCAAAGCGAATGCATGTCAGCTAATTCCTCTGAAAGCGTACCCACTGCCTGACAGAACTCATCAGGAAATTCTCCCCCTATTTTCTCTGTCTTTCTCCTACACAACACAAATACAACACAGTCTGAATAGTTTCTTCCTCTGCTCTGCACGCTCATTAGTATGCAGCATGCAGGTCTGTGAGGCAGCATGCATTTAATTTTTCCACTTGTACACTATCTGTACCTTTTGCCCTCAGCAGCTGTTCTGGCCTTTTTCTGGATTGTCTTTTATTTGTCCATCTGCGTGTCAAAGTAGTGCCTTGCTCAGAACAGGCCAGTCGCTCAAAACAGTCTGTTCTCCCAAGTAACCAGTGATAGGACGAGAGGCAATGGCCTCAAGTTGCGTCAGTGGAGGTTTAGGTTGGGTATTAGGAAAAATTTCTTTACTGAAAGAGTGGTCAGGCATTGGACCAGGCTGCCCAGGGCAGTGGTGGAGTCCCCATCCCTGGAGGGGTTCAAAAAATGTGCAGATGTGGCACTTTGGGACATGGTTTAGCAGGCATGGTGGTGATGGGGTGACGGCTGGACTTGATGATCTCAGAGGTCTTTTCCAACCTTAGTGATTCTATGATCCTGTGATTCAGAAGAGTGCTGCCCCCACCCCAGCTGACACGATCCCTGGGCACTAGAACCTGATTCCACCTTTTCTTTTGCACCTCCAGTTCCTGCCCGGTTCATTGTCATTAACCCTGTGACTTTCAAACTTGCTTCTGCTCCACACACAGAGCCATGCAGATGACATCTATTTGCACTTATGAGTTCCGTGTCTCTGCCACCACACTGGAGCCTCACCCTGTGCTCTGACATCCCCAAGAGAGCACGTTACCAGAACAAGTCAAAGACACCACGTGGCTAGTGTCGCTGTCTCACGTCACGGGGAATATTTTTAGCATTACAATGCATACGCTGGTCCTCTTCCCCCCATACCATGATAAGCCTTACAGTTCCATGCTGTCATTACTCCAGCTTTTCACTGATCTTGCACTTTCTCTGCCAGTTTCAGCTATTCCATAAAAGAAGGGGAAAAAAAAAAAAGGGGAGGCTTTAAGCGTTGGCAGCACTGTACCAGCATAACAAGGTTACCCAGTCCGACACCAGATTACATCAAGCCAAATTAGGAACATCGAGCCTGCAATACCAGGACTGGTGCCTGCATTCCTTACAGTCCTCTCTCCTCTAATCCCTTCCATCAGCTAATTAAGCCCCTTTTTAAAAGTAGTGTTTTTCATGCTCCCAACCTTGTGGCAATGCTTCAGCTCCCAGGTAAGGGCTATGGAGACAGGGACATTCACTATTCTCTTACAGAAGCAGTGAAAATGAATACACCTGAGAAGGGCAGCATGAACAAATCCAACGGACTGGGCAGAGCTTAAGAGCAGGTCTACAACCCTGTGCAAAAGGTAGTGTCATGACCGTAACCCCAAACTAAGAGTCGGATCCGATAAAGACCGTGCCTTAGTTCAACAGCCTCCCCTCAGCCTTGGGGCTGTCTGAACCACACTCTCCCTGATCAAAAGCAGGAGGCACCCAGCTTCTCGTCCAAGTGAGTCTTCCTGGCACTACGTGGTGGCCTGGGATCCCAGCATAAGCCTGCCCAGCTGAATCAGAGCACGAGATTTGCCATCTCGCCATCTGGCTCTGGTATGGTCAGGTCACATTCTCCACTGCCCCTGTATCTCAGCTCACATCCTTCGCTACAGGAGCTTTTACTATAGGAGCTTTTACTATACAGGAGCTAGTTACTCTAGCTTGCAGAAATTTTCCATGAAAGAGTACTACGAGGAACTACACAAATACTGCGGTTGCACTTGCTCTTAAGCCTTAATGTTTGGGTGCACCCTGGTGAACTCAAGCTATTAGCAGGACTACAAAAATAGCACCAAGACATTGAAACAGTGAACCTTCAGATTGCAAAGAATGCCAAAAAAAAAGCAAACAAAAGTGGATTTTTTTTTCCCCTAAGTGCACTGGGGACACAAACACGTATTTAAAGATTACTTCTCAGTTTTAATTTGTGAGATTGAGAAGCTGGAAGGGAAACAGTCCAGCTGAAAGCGCATTCCTCTCTATAGCAAGGCCAGAGTAAAGAGCCCCACACAAACCATGTTCTGGTAAGGACAGAGCAGAAAATTTCAGCTTAAATGATAAAAGGTTTTTCATTACGAAGTGAAAACTATGGTGGCTAGAATAGATATATTTACTGAACCTTAACTGCCATTGCAATAATAAAGCCTCTTAACAAAGAGTTCTCTTCTTTTGATCAGGGGATTTATATTCTGCTAGCACCCGCTAGGCTGTTACAGCTGACATAAAATGCTCTACAGATGATTCTGTATGAACGACTTAAAGTACATAACTTCCTTCCTCCCCACAACTTCATCAAGTTTTGACATTCTACAGCAGATATGGCTTTCTGATAACAACACACTGCACAGCGTATTCCTGGTTACACATGAAGTCTGGAGTAGCTATTGAATTCAACTCCAGTGCCCAGGCAACCTTCCAGGTAGAGCACAGGGGCAGTTTTTAAATTCTTGCCTTTAGCAGCAGAAGCTGGGAGTGGGGCTAACATTTTAAATCTCACCTGCAGCAACAGAAATGCATCCATAAAGCATTCCATCTTATGAAGCGAAATGTCAGCCTCGAGACAGATGGATATGGACAATAGCCTGGACTCCATCTTTAGCAAGTCAAGAGCAGCCAGAAGCACAGAAAGTTACTTTCGTATGTAATTAAGTTTTCAGTGGCTGCACAAGTTTACCTTGAAAAGTGATTATGGAAAACTGCCAGGTATACTGGGTAAGGACAATCCTTCCTTACCCAGCAGTCCTGCTCCAGCCACACAGAATCTCCTATCTGCTCTCCTGCTCGAAATAAAGATGCAAGATTTGTATCCCATTGGCCATGAAGATCCCACACAGCTTTAAAAAAGTGAGCTGAATCACTTTCTGACTCAAACACCAACCTAATTGTTGACTAAATATAATTCTGAAAGCCCCTGTGTAATGTCATTGTCTTGAAAAAACAGCCTTTATTACCAAAGCAAGCACAATTGATTCATAATTTACTCATATGCAATAAAACAAGAGTGACACTGAATTTCTGTAGGAAGAGAAGTGAATTTTTAACATGCATTGGGTTTTGCATAGTTAATGACTAGTCTAAAATAAATTATTTAAATATGGCTTTCTATCTAAGTACACAAATCTATCCCAAATATAGAGCCAACTGCATAAGAAACCTAAATAGTGAATTTGCACTTTTTAAGGATTTTTACACTGACTTAAGTGGCACTTACCCAGAAAATACTGAGATGAAGGGAGCTGTGTCCCACCTTTCAAAGCTCTACTCAGTCAAATAAAACAGTGCCTTTGCCTAGTCTTCCATCCTCAGAATAAATGTACAATTACGACTGTGTGTCAAACTCAGATTTTTATCTCTCCTCTGCCCCAAAGTGTGTGCATGGAGAATATATTTATTTACGAAGAGTTTTTTGCTTTAAAAGCTAATTAGGATTTCCAACATGAGTTACAGAGTCAGAGCACAAAAGCACTCTTGGGAGTTTCCAAATGTCCAGCCAGACCCAGTGGGTCTTCTCTGGAGATATTCAAGCCCCGCCTGGACACGGTCCTGTGCAGCCTGCTCTGGGTGACCCTGCTTCGGCAGGGGTTGGGCTGGGGGATCCCCAGAGGCCCCTTCCAGCCCCTGCTGTGCTGGGATTCTGTGACTTCGCAGAATATGTAAAATCACATAAAATTCCTCTGCTACGATACAATACGCACACACAAACCCTCCTTCTAACCCTGTCTACTGGCAAAAACGTGCACGTGCAATCAGCAGCAACCACTTTGCAAGTCATTGCTGTTACAAGATCCTGTTTTGACCAGGTCATTCCCATCTTCTCTTTTGTGCTCAGGAGGAATGTCTCCCCCAGAGCCACAGCTATTCAAATCACAAGAATAGACTCAAAATAACTGAAGAAGCTAAGCAGGGAAAGCCATTGGTGTTTCCGTGGTGGAGATACGCTGGTGGGGCAGCTGCGGGCACCTCGCCCTCAGACTGCGTGCGTTGCAAAGCCTGGTTTGGCCCAACTCAGCTCAGAGGAAACTGCAGCAGCCTCGCTGGGTCTGACTCCTCACAGGCTGCATGCTCTACTTCTCAGCCAACATAGACATTGCAGAAAACCCAGAAAGATTTATGTGAAACTTCCATGTGACCAACCCTCAGGCATCCCCTGTGCATCCTCTTGCAACCTCCCATCTTCTCTGTTGGCTGGGTCCCCACCAGTCCCACTCTTCCCTCTGCTCTTCCTTACTGAGCAGGTCTTCAAGAAAAATAAGAACTCCAAGTGAATTAATAAGAACTCAAAGTGAATTAACTTTTCTTTACTTAACTGGTTTGCAGGACTAATTTGAGCACACATTGTTCATAGGTTTTTTCTATTTTTCCTGTTCTGATTACCAAACTGTTATTTAGCAGCTCAGAATTCATACACTCACAAGAAATGATGGAAAGTTTCGAAACCTACTATAATCTATTAATGCTTACAACATAACATACAAATCTTAAGGAGGTCAAAAGCATTGTTGGTTTGGGCAGGATAGATCAGATGAGTAAGAAGAAAATGCAGTGGAAGAAAATTCTCCTTTTGCTCTGCAAAAGACTTAGTGCTCTCATTCAAGGCGTAACCGAGGTTCGTGGTAAAATATCCTGTTACTCTGATAGGCTCAGGTATTAACATATATATGCCAAGCCAAATGGCAGGGTTTGGAAAAAAACCTTGTACAGGGCTAATCTAGGGCTGACTTCAAAATTAACTCCATTAGCAGCTGGGCAGACCCCAATAC